TTGCGCTCCATTTTTCTGGCTGCTCTCTTAAGGGCCTGAGTGTGCTCGCTGTACCACGGCGTTGGACTATTTTCTTTGATATTCTTTAAGCACAAAGGAGCAACTGCGTATAAAGTGCTGGAGAAGAGAGAGTTAAAAGTTTCTGTCGCAATATTGAGTTCTTCTAAGCTATCTGGGATGTTGAGATGATGAAACTGATCAGGAAGATTATTAATAAAGCCTTCTTTAGTGGCAGAAGTGATAGGTCTAATATATTTGTAACACGGAGTCGGCTTTGCAGCCTTGGGTAAATGAAGTTTACACGATAATGATCTAAGATGTCATCGCTCTGCTGCAGAATTTCAACAGCATCAACATTGATTCCATGTGATGATATTAGATCTAGAGTATGATTACGACAATCAGTAGGTCCTGACACGTGTTGTCTAACTCCAATAGATGTCAATGACAATCCCAATGCATCTCTTTCATTATCTACATTTATTAAAATCACCAACAATTAGGACTTTATCTGCAGCCAGTACTAACTCTGATAGAAAGTCCGCAAATTCTTTGATAAAGTCTGTATGGTGCCCTGGTGGCCTGCATACAGTTGCCAGCACAAATCTTAAACGTGATTTATCATTTGCACTATATATTGTTACATTAAGCACCAACACTTCAAAATAATTATATTTGAAACTAGACTTCTTAGTAATTTTGAAAATATTACTATATATTACAGCAACACATCCCCCTTTGCCTTTCAGACGAGGTTCATGCTTATAACGGTAATCTTGTGGGGTTGACTCATTTAAAGTAATGTAATCGTTTGGTTTTAGCCAGGTTTCTGTCAAACACAGAACATCTAGGTTATAGTCTGTAATCATTTCATTAACAATGAGTGCTTTTGAAGTAAGGGATCGAATATTCAGCAACCCAAGCTTTGTCATTTGTACATTTGTATTATTTCTGTTTTTTATTTGTTGAACATCAATTAATTTTTTACCCTTAGATGGATTTGGAAGTTTTTTTTGTATTTCCTAATTCGGGGAACAGTTACACAGTATCTATATGATGATACCTATGTGAAAGAGCCTCTATGTGATGGGATTTATCTGACCTTGGTGACCACAACAGAACATGATCACAGCCAATCACATTTACTTTACACACACAACTCTATATATGAATGAACTTATGAGATAATAATATAATACTTGCAGATACTTTAAGTCGACTGTTTTTACATAGATTGTTCTATTATTATCATCATTTTTGCTTGTGCATTTTTTGTAAATGAATCACTTTAGAGTTTAGATTCTGTTTATTTCTTGTGAAATTCTTCAGGCATTCATTTTAATTGCCATTTTTGTTGTATATGTTACTGTAATGTAAAATAAAAACAATAATCATGCTTTCCCAGCTGATGTTGATGTCAATTGCAAAATAATAAATGTACATCTGATCTCACCAACATATTCTCCACATTCTGTGATCTTTTATAAGTAAACATGAGACGATTTGAAATCATCTTTTAAGAGGCAACATGATGCTAAAATAAACCAAGTTTTGTTTACAATATTCAATCTTGTAACTGTTCTTGTTGGTTTACTGAAAATTTGTTTTGGCCTTTTATATTCATTTTTTAAATAATTGACTTGTAGTGGACTTTTTCAATATAAAACAGATTAAAACCAAAAGCATGTCATAATGTTCTCCATTATTAAATAATATATTAATAAGTAATGTTTTTGAAGAGGAATTGACTGTGTAAAATGTTGAGTTGTTAAAAAAAAATAGGTTTAAAGATGGTTTCAGGAACATCATTCTAACCTTAAAAAAAGTTCCGCTAACATTAAGAAATCGAGCTTCATCTGGTGGACATTTAACAGCTGTGATGATGAAATATGATAATTGCTATGATTATTATTATCAGTTAGCAGAACCATGCTAACTGAGCAAGTTTACTATATGACTAAAGAACTTTAGCTATAGTGTGTGTCCCCTTTATTAATATGCCTGGAGGTGGTGAGTAGCTAATAATAATAAAAAATACCAAATTCACTCAGTACTCCATGATTCCTAATTCACCTCTCTCTCGATTACAATTGCATACAAATGACCTGTATTCAGTTGTGTAGGAACAGTCCAATACATCATTTAAACTAATTATTATGTTCAAATAATTAAGGTTTAGGTGCTGCCATATTTTTATAGTTTCACTATCATCAGCTTTTTTGATAATAAAATGTAACACCCAATGGTCACATATAATCCTCATCTTCTCTCTTCAGATGCACTGCCACCGGTTGCAGACATCTCCATCTCAGCAGCGCCCAGCGATTCAGCATCAGTTTACAAAACCACTGCTGCACCATTACACCCTGCTGACTGCTTTGTGTAGAGTTATTTATTTTATTGTGTATATGTTTGTATAGTAGTTTGTATCTCTTAATATAGTAATAAAATGTAATATATATTTTTTTTTTCTGCAATAATCTTATAAAATATAAACTTATTTATATTGTATTTATAATGTATAAATAATTTATAATTTATGTAGCAGGGGATATCTTGCCTAGGGCAGCAAACTGGCACTGTTTGCAAACATCTGTTGTTCCTTGTAAACTGACATCGAAACGAAACTCTTGGGGAAATAAACGGAGCATATAAATATGAGTGTTTCAGTCACAGCGAATCCCTCTTCAGACGCTCTTCACTCTCTCCAGGTGAGCAACAATATTCATACTTCTATATTTATAGAAAATTATAATGGTTCACACAGATGGTTATATATTTGAGTTATTTAAATATTACAAAGACACTGATTACCTTTTTTATTCTGAAAAAAGCAGGTTAATTATTGTGTTGCTTATAATTGTTAAAATCTACTTTGAAATTACATTTATTTTACTAATGCAGTGTTTAGAAATGATACGAGTCTTCATTAAAACTAACTAAATCTCACTATATCATGTGCATGAATTCATTTAGATAATTGATTAATTAAAAATAAACATTTTAAATCAAAAAGATAAATGAATAGGATATTTTTTTAAACTCAAATGATTTGGAAAGAATACTGGTTAATGATTTTGAAAGTGTACAGTCAGTCTGTGGTTTTAATTCAGCGAGTGAAATAAAGATTGATACATTTTGAATTGTAGATGTTTTTCTCATGGTGATTTTTCTTAGTGTGTTTGACAGATCTGAAAACACACACACACACACACACTCTGATCACAGTGTTTGACATCATCCTTCAGTCCAGCGTGAGTCTTACTTTCATTTATAAATGTATGAGCCATTTTTGTTTATCTTTGCATTATGTATTAATTAAATTAAATTTTTTTAATTTTCTAACATTGATGAGATTTACTTTATTGTCATGTCATTGACCTTACAGCAATTTGTATGAATTTTACGAGGTGGATAATTCGTAGGAATTCATACAAACTCACTCATACGTATTCGTAAGATTTTTGCTAAATCATAAGTATTTTACTCATTGCCCAATCGTATGAATTATCCACCTCATACTTCGTGAGATAGTGTTGACATTGACACAAGTGTACAAGGAGTGAACATATTTTATTCATAGATTCTTGCAGGAATACAGAAACAGAGAATGTGACATTCAACTTCAATAAATACACACACAAAATCTTTACTTGTAGTGTGTTCACTATAAATCAGACTAATACACACGCTGAGTTATAGTTATCACTTTACTTCTGTTTACAGCAGTTACAGCGACAGACATGGGATCATGGGAGTCAAAAACACCTTCAACAGGTCAGAACACACACACACAAACACACACACGCACGCACGCACACACACACACACACACATACTGGTTTCCATGTTGGATGGGGACCAACTTTATGACCATCACCTGTGGGGACCACCCTTTCTAAAGGTTCTAGAGGTATAAAAAAAATTAGGGATACTTACCATAGCTTTGATAACTTATACACGCCTTCAAATATCTGAATTGATGAAGTAATGATTTGACCATGCGCAATGGGGACCTTTGAAACATCCAGTGGACATGTCTTATAGGGACCTACTTTGCATAATATTTGCATAATTCACACAACCTCCCATTTGATTTGTGGGGACCTAATTTGCATAATTCACACAACCTCCCAATTGATTTAAGGGGACCTAATTTGCATAATTCACACAACCTCTTATTTGATTTGTGGGGACCTAGATAGAACAATAAGTATATCACTATTCGACAAATAATAGGCATTTATATAAAGTAAATCCTCAGATTGCATTTTTCCATTTGCCCTTAAAAATGGGTTGAATCTACAACCAAGCAGAATTAAAATATACAGTAGTACAAAACAACTTCGATTAGTTAATGTGGAGAGATAGTGAGGACTGCAAATGGTGCCAGTGATGCAAAGCTTCACTCTTGCATAGAATACCTATGGCTGGTTTCACAGACCTGGCTTAAGATAGTCTCAGACTAAAGTCCGTGTTTAAGCCTACGTTTGATTGGAATAGTAGTGTGATTGAAGTGGATTGTGTGTGAATGGAGAACTGCAACAAAGGATTGCATGCAAGTAGTGAATTTTTTTCTGGATATTTTCCAACCCATTTCATAACCACAAGTCAAACATTCAAACCATTCCACTTCAAAATATTCTTTCTATAATTGTAATTTTTCAGTCACCCTCCCAGCATCAGCTGCTACTCATTCACCTGATACTTATTTAAAAAATCTACTACTAATTGAGCTTCAATACATTAATTTACATTACAATGGCTGAATTCAACTTTTATTGAGTTCAACTTCACAAAATAACTCAAATGAAGTCATACCTCAAAACAAAGTCCTGATATTAAAAGTATAATATATATAACTTTCACACATGCTTCCTTTCACATACATGTGAATTTAAACAAACTACAACTTTAAAATAACTTTATTGTTCGACCAATGCTTTCCGACTGGTGGTCATCACAGTCATCATAAAACATATGGCAAACAATTTCAAATAAAGTTATTCTATAGCCTACACGTGTTTCTGTAGTTTTAAAGGGTTAGTAAACCCAAAAACATCTTTAACCTTTTAACATCTTTGAACAAAACCTGCCACGACAGAGTTGGATCTTCACATTATTATTATTTGCACTGGAATTTCTTTTTGTAAGCTGTAATACGATTATAAATGTAAAATTTTACAGTCTTCCAATCGCGGTTCTTAAGCGCTCCTGGTTCAGCTTTCAAACATTTTTCACAGTCACTCTTTGCTGGTACAGTGAGCGATGTGATGAATCGCTGCATGTGCCTTTCCACCGCCTGCACCTCTGTCTGCTGCCAGGGTGTCTTCTGGGTACTTTTACCTAAAAGTGGACAGAAAAAACTATTGAAATGAGAAAGTGTGTGTACTGGAATTCCAATCCAAAGTTCTAAATCCTATTATCAGTATTTATTAGGTCTGCCCTCTAATAGTTAACCACGATTTTATTAGTCGGTTAGTCGCAGGGAAAAAAACCCCCGCAGGAAATCACGCAGGCTGTGTCGGACAGATCAATAACGGCAGTCGGCAGGAAATCCAAACATTTGCCTATCAGTCATTGACCTTAAATATGGCTTATCTCTTGAAACATGCGAGTAGTATCAACCTTACAAGTCGCTCACTCTAATGTTAACCTGATAAATGTGTTATTATTAGACTCATATCTGTGCGTGTGTGGAAAGACGCTTTACATAGAGGAGCCGGCGCGATCATTTTACTTAAAATACTCTTGTCCTTTTATTCATATAGATAAGAGTAATGCAAACTGTAAAGGGTCAAATTTCATTTTCTATTATTTCTGTAAACTCACAATAACTAAAAAATGTTTTGCTTTTGTAAAATAATGAAAACAATAAGGATGTGCTTTCTGCTGTCTCAGTAAACTTGAGCGTCACAGAAATGAGCCGAAACTCAGCGTGTACTCACCTCACACACGATAAATATATCTATAGAAAGCTTGAAATGTCTGCTTTTAAAGGAACCAATTCAAGTGTAAAATAATTATTCTCATTATGTAATCCATATGAAACGTGCATATATGCGCGTCACTGCGGAGATGAGTCAGCATCGTTGACTTAATTTATTGGTAATGTTTTCGGCTGCAGAGATTACAATGTTTAGTAATGATGGTTCAATGTTTGCCAGTGCGCTGTGGAGCTTTATGTGCGCGCTTGAGCGCTGATTAGGCTTTGTATTATATAGGCAATTAAAGGCTCATTATTATTAGTTAAGGCTTATTAGTATAAAAATGTGATTAGTAGTCATTCATTTTAAACTATTAGTCAACTAGAAAAATCTTTAGTCAGCATCTATATTGCAAAACAAATTATTTGCACTCTATCTATAAATAGAATTACACTGTCAATCAAACAGTGATTTTTGCATTGTCACTTGGCCTGAAATGATCATTGGGGAAAAGGTAAATATATTAAGATCAATGTCTTGGCTGGAAGTTATTTTTATGCATCCATCCACTCAAACTTCTCCAGGAGATACCCTACGTTCACACCGCCGCCGCTCTGCCAGCGACGCCATGGAAATATTCGTGGACGCTCTGATGTAGATGAATACTTGGTCTTTTTTAAAACTATATTTAAAGGGGCCGCAAAGCAAACAAGCATGTCAATAGTTATTTTTGCAGAAAATTGATCAATGGAAAGAACTTAATTATAGTGACATTCCATTGATCAATTTGCTAATGAAATAAACCAATTAAAAGCTATTTGTGTGGTGTGGCTTTTGTGTTCATGGTTAAGTGCTATTCTAATTTGCATTCCCGCTGAAAAACAAGTGTTCTAGCGCAAAATTTTTGCCTATAAATAGTGTTGCGTGCCTTCTTATCAAATTCAAATGATCAATCTCTCCTCTATTTTGCTTGGGAAATAATGTGGTTGGAACCAAAAAGTTACAGGACTGCGTTCTCTGGAATCCTCTCAAACGGAGCACTTCTACATTACGATTGGTTGCTGCCGAACCGCGTCATTGCTCATTACCATAAATTTGACCTGATTTCAACTTCTCCTCGCCGCTCTCACCGTCCAAGACTCGCCGCCCTCTCCGGAGCTCGCCAGATAGTTATTCCTGATATTTCAATTATTAGAACAGCTACAGTTCCTACTCGTGCCACAAAGCACCTAGTAGATTCTAGAATCAACCAAGTAACCCTCTAAACAACTACTGATGGGTTCCTGAGCATTATGATATTGAAATTCATGTATAGAGGAACAATTTAGTTGCAAAGTGTTCAAATCGCTAACATTTTGGTGGAAACGTCTCAAAAAGGGAAACAGCAAAAAACAAAATCAGCATTTAGTGATCTGGTCTAACATCTGGGTATCAAAGTGCTCCTAAATTGTCTAATTTAGTCTTAAGCCTTGTTTATACTCGACGCGTCCGCACGAGCGCGAGTCTCCGCTGACTGCGCGCGCACCTCTCCAAACGGACGAGGCGTTTATACTTGACGCGCTCGCCGTTGTGCTATTCTGTGAAACGACAGGGGGCGACTCGGAGTAATTCTCCTCTAAACCACCAGGAATCAGCAGTGAAGAAGTAGTTTGCCGTTTATTAGTAGTTTATTAATTTCTGATTCATATAAAAAGAGTAATAAATGCAGTAGGTTTATTGCACTTTCACTGAATGTAAACTAGTAAACAACTGAAGCCTTATTGAAGAGTGTTTAAACCTTAATTTCATCAGCAGGGCTTAATTCTGCTATTGTAGGCTTATTTTGTAAATGTAAGCAGTTACTTTATACAAGTGCAAACTGGGTGCTTAATGTAAATGTGTTCCTATTCACAAAATGAGAGGCTTTTATGGTCGCCCATCAATACAAATGTCTCTGTGTATAGAAGGATCATAAACATGGTGGTACAGACATACCAGTTCGGCCAGATTCGGCTCGAAGTCGTTCATCTTCGGATGCGGCGCCACGCGCGATGTTACAAAAAGTGCTGTGCACACCGCCAGCCGAAATGGGGTCTTGCGCACCCAACGCGCACGACCGCCCACACCGCAATGACGTCATTTTTGCCGCGCGCACTTCGCGCTCTTGCGGACGCGTCGAGTATAAACAAGGCTTTAGAAATGTGTAAAGAGTTCACCTTTGGAAGAAGGCCTCACAGCACTGGCTCCTGAAGGCATCTCTTCATCTGATGGTGGTCTGCGTCTCTTGGGTGGTGGCGGCATGTCATTCCTCTCGGTAGGAGGAAGTGCCACCTCTGAAGATGGTTCTATAGAAAATAATCAAAGTTCAACATTTTCAGAAAGATATACACTTTAAATGTACTATAGAATGCTGATAATTGTTGTGTTACAAATTTATTAAATGTTTAATTTAGGTTCCAATAGAATGGTATATAAACTGAGAAAGTTTAGTAGACTGAATTTTGCATTTGAGTTATAAATGATTATATCAGAGTTTTCCAGCAAGAGATTCCTGCCAGTCCTGTTTCTCTCTATTGTAGGTTAAATTAGTCCGATTACTGAGACTCACTCTTTGGCTCAATCCCAATACACCCCTTGGCCCTAACCCCTCCGTTTTGCGCGTTCACGTCTAGGGGTAGGGTGTCCCGATTCTTGTTGAGATCGAGGGGTAGAGCTAAGGGGTAGGGCTACATAGCCCTTGAAACGGAGATTTCTTAGAGGCACACTCCAAACGGAGGGCTACGAGATGGTTCACAGAATGCATCGCGAATCACCGCGAGATGGGTTCGCAAACGGTTAAACATTTAAATTTAGCCCCAGATGACACCACCATGCAATTTAATTACTCTTATAATAATAATAATAGAGTGATTTGAATTAAGAAATTGTATAATAAATTACCTTTCCGAAACAGAAAAGACATACATTGAGGAAGGAATGTTATAATGTTATAATGAATGTTATATCATCATGTTTCCTCAAAGTTAAGAGCAGCTGCGCTGATTGTCAGTCGTTGTCATGTAGAAATCCTGTAAAAACTCTGTAACGTCAGAGCCATCGCCGACGACTGATGATGTATTGGGTTCATGAAGGGTTGTTCCATTTCGCAGGGGAATATTTCAACCCCATGGCCCTTGTAACTCTGTTTTAAGGGCCAAGGGGTACACTCGAAAACAAGGGGTAGGGGCAAGGGGTGAATTAGGATTGAGCCTTTGTCTTTAAATGGCTCTAGGAGCCCGTTCCAGTCGTTAAATAGTCAGGCTGAGTGGATTATCACCTATGCATCTGAATCACACTGCTATGCTGATGAGATCAGGGCTGGGGAATTTCCGTTAACGAGCAGACTTCCGTACTTCATTTACATGCTTTGTTTTAGAGTGTCTCCACCTCTATGTAAATCCCTCCCCCTTGAAAAGGCATATAGACTACAAGGTACACTGGCTTAATTAGACTAGACTGGGATGACTACAGCGATGCACAGCGAGTTCTCAAAGAATCCTGCTTGAAAGATGTCCCAATGTCTCCTGGTCTCTGCTTCGACAATACACTGTGTTATTACACTTATGCACTAATTATTTAAAATCATTAAAGTACAATAAACCCTAAACCTGTGCAATTCTTCATTATTGCAAGTATAATTGAACTGCATCTTTACAGCAGACTAGTGTTGCACGATATACCGATACTAGAAAGGTATCGCGATACCCAGCTATTAAAATCGGAACGATATGAAATTTTATTAGTACCGGTACTTTAAGAGTGACATCACTCTAAACAATAAGAGCAGTATTTCTTTATTTTGCGTCGATGTGTGACAGTCGGAGTCAGGACGTGTGTGCAGAGCTCTGCTTCCACTGTTTACATTCACTAAACAACGAAAGCAGAACAGTAAAATACACTCACCGGCCACTTTATTAGGTACACCTGTCCAACTGCTCGTTAACACTTAATTTCTAAGCAGCCAATCACATGGCGGCAACTCAGTGCATTTAGGCATGTAGACATGGTCAAGACAATCTCCTGCAGTTCAAACCGAGCATCAGTATGGGGAAGAAAGGTGATTTGAGTGACTTTGAACGTGGCATGATTGATGGTGCCAGAAGGGCTGGTCTGAGTATTTCAGAAACTGCTAATCTACTGGGATTTTCACGCACAACCATCTCTAGGGTTTACAGAGAATGGTCCAAAAAAGAAAAAACATCCAGTGAGCGGCAGTTCTGTGGGCGGAAATGCCTTGTTGATGCCAGAGGTCAGAGGAGAATGGCCAGACTGGTTCGAGCTGATAGAAGGGCAACAGTGACTGAAATAACCACTCGTTACAACCGAGGTATGCAGCAAAGCATTTGTGAAGCCACAACACGCACAACCTTGAGGCGGATGGGCTACAACAGCAGAATACTCCACCGGGTACCACTCATCTCCACTACAAATAGGAAAAAGAGGCTACAATTTGCAAGAGGTCACCAAAATTGAACAGTTGAAGACTGGAAAAATGTTGCCTGGTCTGATGAGTCTCGATTTCTGTTGAGACATTCAGATGTTAGAGTCAGAATTTGGCGTAAACAGAATGAGAACATGGAACCATCATGCCTTGTTACCACTGTGCAGGCTGGTGGTGGTGGTGTAATGGTGTGGGGGATGTTTTCCTGGCACACTTTAGGCCCCTTAGTGCCAATTGGGCATCGTTTAAATGCCACGGCCTACCTGAGCATTGTTTCTGACCATGTCCATCCCTTTATGGCCACCATGTACCCATCCTCTGATGGCTACTTCCACCATGTCACAAAGCTCTAATCATTTCAAATTGGTTTCTTGAACATGACAATGAGTTCACTGTACTAAAATGGCCTCCACAGTCACCAGATCTCAACCCAATAGAGCATCTTTGGGATGTGGTGGAACGGGAGATTCGCATCATGGATGTGCAGCCGACAAATCTGCGGCAACTGTGTGATGCCATCATGTCAATATGGACCAAACTCCCTGAGGAATGCTTCCAGCACCTTGTTGAATCTATGCCACGAAGAATTGAGGCAGTTCTGAAGGCAAAAGGGGGTCCAACCCGTTACTAGCATGGGGTACCTAATAAAGTGGCCGGTGAGTGTATATACGCACAGTGAAACATGCATGATGAGAAAAAGCGCGGGACATGCTCGCGCTGCCGAGCTCAGACCTGAAGAGCGCACACACGCCTTTCACACAGCATGCGATCGCCACTTCAGTTCTCTTTCGTGGATTATTTGGATTGAATAATCAAAATTCTAGGTAAAAATGTACATCCTGATGAGTATTCACGTAAACACAGTCGGGTATGTCTTTAGTGAATGTAAACCATTTGTAAAAATAAATCATATGTGTTCCATTGGGTAGCCTACGTGCAGGTCTTAAAGGGCCGGACCAGCAGCCTAATATTCTGTGTAATTAATGTTGATGAAACAACAGAAAATAGAGAATCACCCAATGCTTGACTGAATAAATGTATCTATTTATTAAGAATCAGTCTATAGTTAATTTATAGAGTGAAGACTTTATTTTTTTCAGCTACAGTACTAGGTTTATTTAACAGTAGCATTCAAAAAAGAAATGAAGCACTGTTTATTTTATTTGTCTCTATTGTTTGTAATTTGCTTTTTTGCATATTTTAAATAACAAAAATAGAATTAAATATCTGTATTGTCATTATAAAATTACATTTAAAATATATTAAATAACTCATTTCATGAAATATTTTGGTCATCCCAACCTGTTCAGAATTGTGAAAGGTTAGCAAATGTTAAAGGGATACTCCACTTTTTTTGGAAATAGGCTCATTTTACAACTCCCCCAGAGTTAAACTGTTCAGTTTTACCGTTTTTGAATCCATTCAGCCGATCTCCGGTTCTGGCGGTACCACTTTTAGCATAGCTTAGCATACATCATTGGAGTGGACAAGACCATTAGCATTTCTAAAAAAAAAAATGACCCAAAGAGTTTCGATATTTTCTAGGCTGATATGGCTTGGAACTATACTCTCATTCCTGCGTAATAATCAAGAAACTTTACTGCCGTACCATGAGTGCAGCAGGCGTAATGATATGACACAGCGCCTGAAAATAGGCTACCTTCCGTCAACACAACGGAACTATTTTCAGGCACTGCGTTATATCATTACGCCTGCTGCTCTCGTGGTACGGCAGTGACGTTTCTTGATTATTACGCAGGAATGAGAGTATAGTTCCTAGCCATATCAGCCTAGAAAATCACAACTTTACATTTTCCGTCGGTCTTAGTCCACGATGTAACTACAGAAGAGTCAAGTTTTAAATAGGAAAAATATCGAAACTCTTTGGTCATTTTTTTTTTTAGAAATGCTAATGGTCTTGTCCACTTCAATGATGTATGCTAAGCTATGCTAAAAGTGGTACCGCCAGAACCGGAGATCGGCTGAATGGATTCAAAAACGGTAAAACTCAACAGTTTAACTCTGGGGGAGTTGTAAAATGAGCCTATTTCCAAAAAAAAGTGGAGTATCCCTTTAACATGATTGATAATAATGCCAATGTTGCAAACATCTTTGTAAGGACGTACACACGGGCACTTGCTAATTATTATTATTATTATTATTATTATTATATTTAATAAAGGGAAGGTAATGGTAAAAAAAGCATTGAAGGAACACATTTTAAATCTTAAACTTTATAAAACAATGAATTGTAAGTTCTGTCATATTTTTCGATCGATATCGAGGTATTTTAGTCTGGTATCGTATCGAAGTCATAATTTTGGTATCGTGACAACACTACAGCAGACATTTAATCAAACAATAAGCTCAAGCTAACTAAGACATGAAATAAAATGGTTAAATACTCAATCTGACATGGTTCGTTTAGTGCCATGACACAACCAACACGAGAAGAGAGCGGATCAGCTAGCATTTTACGACAAATTTGCACCTTTCTCTTATGAAAAATTATTTTTATGGTAGTAAACTCCACAAAAAATATTCACTCCAGAATAAATGTTTAGTGTAAGACATTTTGAAGAATAGCTTGGAGGCATTTGATTCAGTACACAATGAGCAGTTTCGTAAAAAACGTTTGTTCAGCATACTGAAGAATCTTTTTTAAATGTTGGCTATGATGTTTCTTCACAAGTTAAGTGACTGAAAACTATGAATAACTGCAAAATCTAGTAGTGTATTTTGAAAGTAATACAAACCGTCAACAGTAGATGAACAGTGTCCCTCTTGTATGCTCCCGTCTTCCTCATCACAGTCAATAACTTTTTCTGTGGAAGTTCAAAGTACAGCTTAGCAATGGTAAACCACATGGTATATGAATAGATGGTAAACAGAAAAATCAAACAAAAGTCAAATAAAATACCACACCATCAGGAGCTATCCCAATTTCATCCAAGTTCTTGCCATGGAACTCAGCTAATCTTCCTTGCTCAAGAGCCATTAGAACTTTGCTGATCTTGGCAAGTTGCAGGGTCTTCTCAGGGAGACGATAGAACTCACGATGGATTCTTATGTCGTGTCCAAGAAAGTTTGCCAGCTGGTCCATCTCTGTGTCAGTCATATTCAGCACGGTTGAAAGTGTTGCGGCATGCTTTCGCAGTCTTGTAGATGTCAGTGACTTGGGACACTTTGCGCCACACACCTTAGCAAAGCCACGGAGGCAGTCTGACCCTCGAAAATGTGTCATGGCTTCTGGTCTTGCAAACATATAGGGATTGTCTTTCAGAACCCCACAAGCCTCTCTCTGCTTAACAAGGATTTCTAAGGCAGATAGCATTTTTGGAGTCAGAAGAATTGGAACTGGTCGACCACGCTTTCCCCTTGTGATAACCCTTGTGAAGTGTCTGCAGAGTTTTTTTTCCACTTCAGAGAGTGCCCAGTCCACATCTTCATGTGGATCAGAAGTGTCTCTTGATAGAAATGCAGACAAAGGCATGCTCGAAACCTCTCCTTCCCTGCGGCGGTTAAAGAGAATCATCTGGGCTAGACACACCTTTGCCAGATCCATCCAGGCTTTAGTAGAGGGACTTTCAGAGAGTGTTTTGAACCACTTGTCTTGCACTTCACTGAGATAAGTATGCATTTTCTGGACGTCTTCGGTAAAGGGCATGATAGTGGGCACATTCCACTTTGCTTCACTGATGTTCCTCAATGCTGTAGCCGAGATCATCTCGTTCCACTTGCTCTCATGGACTTCTAGAAACTCACTGGCGTTCTTTACAAGCTGTTTGTCATTTGAGATTAATCCCTGAGCTTTTAAGAGTTTGCTCACTTTAACCAGGGAATTCCCAAGCTTGTTTGCAAGCGATGGAATCATGAACTTGTCCGTTTCACTGTCATACCCACACGTATACTTCACAGCTTTGACAGTCTCCATGTACTTCTTTGGATTTACACAATCTTCCATCGTTTTTAACGAGGTGACTCTCCTCGCCTTGTGAATCAACCTTCCCAATTCTCGCATCTTCTCCCGCACATACTGTTTATTTTTGGCTGATAGCCCTCCTTTGTTCAACAAGTGCTGCCCAATTTCAGTAATTACTCTGTCATTTTTTATTATATCTGTGATTGGGTCAGGAGTCATGGCACTGATTACTCCCCACAGTTGTTTGGTCATGTTTGAAGGCACAGGACCTGTGTATGTACACATGGACTGAACACGGTTTTTTCCTGGTTTGGGGGGGACTGACTGAGGTTTAAGTCTACAAGAACGCATATGACGCCACAGGACCTTTCTTGTAAAAAGTCCTTGACAGTACGCACAATGCATAAAATCCTCTCCCTGCGCTTTTTTAGGTGGTCGTTTAAATGGCACCAGTTCCCCCTTTCCTGATTCCATAACAGCAGCATTGTGGGCATAGTTCCCTTTGTTGCGAATATAATCCAGCTGTTTTTTTCTCTCTTTTGAACCTTTTGGAAAGCTTAGAGCTCTAGCCACATCAGATGTATTTGCATGTGAACTTTCTAGATGCCTTGCCATCTTAGCGTAAGGTTTGGAGCAATACAAGCAGTAATGTCTCTTGTTATACACTCTACCGCCATCTCTTTTTTGGTATGCATTAACAAATACGCAGTCTGAACTGGGCTCTTCTACTGTTTCAGATGTTTTAGATGTAAGGCTGTGCATTTTGTCTGACGTTGTTGTGTCACAGTCAGGGGAGCTTACAGAGGCAGATTCATTCATATCCAGTTCATCAAGAAGCTGATGCTTTGTTGGGTTCAGTGTAAGGCTAACATCACTGTCACTGTCACTGTTGGAAGTGGTATCTGGGACATAATTATCTGAACTCTCTGGTGTAGAATCAAAGAGCTCACCAGAATCTTGAAGATCCATGTCTTTCATCTTAAATGAAAAAAAATATATATTAAAAAGTTAATTAGAAATAGGTAGAACTGCTGCATTTAATTAATTGATCATTAACAGACATAAATTGGCAACTATTGTGATAATCAATGTACTGTTCAAGTATTGTTTTGTTTTAAATTTACAAGTTACATGTGATGATTTGCTGCTTCTTACTGTTTGTTATACTAAAGTTCTTAAGTGTAATAAAACGTTTTGGGCAGTTGATCTGACAAAAATAAGGACATCTGATGGGTTTTGGGTTTAATGTAAAGGGGATGCAAATTTTTGATTCTCTGATATTTTGTAGTCAAAATGATTTATCACATAAGAATATATTAATTACATAAATTAATTGATATTGCCTTCATATCCAAACACCTTAATCATATGTAAAGAGTGAGCAGAGCGAGCTTCCATAGGAATGAACTCAAATTATGAATGCCCGTGCAGTCGTGCACATTTAACTTTCGCTTTTAAATTATCGAGGATTTTAAAATTTAAAAGAGAGAAAAACTCCAACGTGTGCATGTAAACATAGCCATTGAATCTCTTGTTGCGACTTGAGAACTTACCATGATACTTTTAGTCCGTCTCAGTCTTGGTACAAAAATGTCATTTTCATTTCGGAGCTGTATCACAATCTGTAAAAAGAAAAGAGTATATAAACAACATTTTACATTATTACAGTATTTGAAATGTAAAAATAAAAAGCGCAAGAAAAAAAATAAAATTACTGTCCAGCAAACCTTGCTCGCACACATCTGGATTAAAACCAGCTTCATGGGGACCTTTCACACACAACGTTATAGTTCCTTATGGGGACCAGTTTCATCAAATTCAAAACACAGGTTTGAGCTCAAACACTGACTGAAAGTGTGTTGTGGGGACGTCGTGAGTGTCCATTTTAATGCAACAATTAACGCAGAAAAAAATCCTCTTGAAGGATAAAACTGGCCCTAAATACTCCACTGCCACTAATCTACTGGACACATGTCCTAAAACGGTTTAATGTACTAATTTACAGCAGATACGCATCAAAATATGCTTACAAATCACTACACCATGACAAAAACCTAAATCTTTAGTGATGAATGTGAACGTACCTGTTGAGGAGAGTTGATTTGAGCAGATTCATCATCCATCTGAGTCTCTGACTGGAGAGAAGGATCAGAGTTACTCGCTGTGCTGGTATTAACAGGAGCGCTGGTCATCTGTAAGAGACAACATTCAAAATGACAAGATGTTAGATCATGGAAACACAAGAGAGAAATCTGAAGCAGATACCACATGGTTTGAGAATGAGAGACAAATCAACTACATCTAAAACATGCATTCCTGTCCAGTCCAACTCTGTGTGCGCTCACACACATCTGGATTAAAACCGGCTTCATGGGGACCTTTCACACACAACGTTATAGTTCCTTATGGGGACCAGTTTCATCAAATTCAAAACACAGGTTTGAGCTCAAACACTGACTGAAAGTGTGTTGTGGGGACGTCGTGAGTGTCCATTTTATTGCAACAATTAACGCAGAAAAAAATCCTCTTGAAGGATAAAACTGGCCCTAAATACTCCACTGCCACTAATCTACTGGACACATGTCCTAAAACGGTTTAATGTACTAATTTACAGCAGATACGCATCAAAATATGCTTACAAATCACTACACCATGACAAAAACCTAAATCTTTAGTGATGAATGTGAACGTACCTGTTGAGGAGAGTTGATTTGAGCAGATTCATCATCCATCTGAGTCTCTGACTGGAGAGAAGGATCAGAGTTACTCGCTGTGCTGGTATTAACAGGAGCGCTGGTCATCTGTAAGAGACAACATTCAAAATGACAAGATGTTAGATCATGGAAACACAAGAGAGAAATCTGAAGCAGATACCACATGGTTTGAGAATGAGAGACAAATCAACTACATCTAAAACATGCATTCCTGTCCAGTCCAACTCTGTGTGCGCTCACACACATCTGGATTAAAACCGGCTTCATGGGGACCTTTCACACACAACGTTATAGTTCCTTATGGGGACCAGTTTCATCAAATTCAAAACACAGGTTTGAGCTCAAACACTGACTGAAAGTGTGTTGTGGGGACGTCGTGAGTGTCCATTTTAATGCAACAATTAACGCAGAAAAAAATCCTCTTGAAGGATAAAACTGGCCCTAAATACTCCACTGCCACTAATCTACTGGACACATGTCCTAAAACGGTTTAATGTACTAATTTACAGCAGATACGCATCAAAATATGCTTACAAATCACTACACCATGACAAAAACCTAAATCTTTAGTGATGAATGTGAACGTACCTGTTGAGGAGAGTTGATTTGAGCAGATTCATCATCCATCTGAGTCTCTGACTGGAGAGAAGGATCAGAGTTACTCGCTGTGCTGGTATTAACAGGAGCGCTGGTCATCTGTAAGAGACAACATTCAAAATGACAAGATGTTAGATCATGGAAACACAAGAGAGAAATCTGAAGCAGATACCACATGGTTTGAGAATGAGAGACAAATCAACTACATCTAAAACATGCATTCCTGTCCAGTCCAACTCTGTGTGCGCTCACACACATCTGGATTAAAACCGGCTTCATGGGGACCTTTCACACACAACGTTATAGTTCCTTATGGGGACCAGTTTCATCAAATTCAAAACACAGGTTTGAGCTCAAACACTGACTGAAAGTGTGTTGTGGGGACGTCGTGAGTGTCCATTTTAATGCAACAATTAACGCAGAAAAAAATCCTCTTGAAGGATAAAACTGGCCCTAAATACTCCACTGCCACTAATCTACTGGACAAATGTCTTAAAACGGTTTAATGTACTAATTTACAGCAGATACGCATCAAAATATGCTTACAAATCACTACACCATGACAAAAACCTAAATCTTTAGTGATGAATGTGAACGTACCTGTTGAGGAGAGTTGATTTGAGCAGATTCATCATCCATCTGAGTCTCTGACTGGAGAGAAGGATCAGAGTTACTCGCTGTGCTGGTATTAACAGGAGCGCTGGTCATCTGTAAGAGACAACATTCAAAATGACAAGATGTTAGATCATGGAAACACAAGAGAGAAATCTGAAGCAGATACCACATGGTTTGAGAATGAGAGACAAATCAACTACATCTAAAACATGCATTCCTGTCCAGTCCAACTCTGTGTGCGCTCACACACATCTGGATTAAAACCGGCTTCATGGGGACCTTTCACACACAACGTTATAGTTCCTTATGGGGACCAGTTTCATCAAATTCAAAACACAGGTTTGAGCTCAAACACTGACTGAAAGTGTGTTGTGGGGACGTCGTGAGTGTCCATTTTAATGCAACAATTAACGCAGAAAAAAATCCTCTTGAAGGATAAAACTGGCCCTAAATACTCCACTGCCACTAATCTACTGGACAAATGTCTTAAAACGGTTTAATGTACTAATTTACAGCAGATACGCATCAAAATATGCTTACAAATCACTACACCATGACAAAAACCTAAATCTTTAGTGATGAATGTGAACGTACCTGTTGAGGAGAGTTGATTTGAGCAGATTCATCATCCATCTGAGTCTCTGACTGGAGAGAAGGATCAGAGTTACTCGCTGTGCTGGTATTAACAGGAGCGCTGGTCATCTGTAAGAGACAACATTCAAAATGACAAGATGTTAGATCATGGAAACACAAGAGAGAAATCTGAAGCAGATACCACATGGTTTGAGAATGAGAGACAAATCAACTACATCTAAAACATGCATTCCTGTCCAGTCCAACTCTGTGTGCGCTCACACACATCTGGATTAAAACCGGCTTCATGGGGACCTTTCACACACAACGTTATAGTTCCTTATGGGGACCAGTTTCATCAAATTCAAAACACAGGTTTGAGCTCAAACACTGACTGAAAGTGTGTTGTGGGGACGTCGTGAGTGTCCATTTTAATGCAACAATTAACGCAGAAAAAAATCCTCTTGAAGGATAAAACTGGCCCTAAATACTCCACTGCCACTAATCTACTGGACAAATGTCTTAAAACGGTTTAATGTACTAATTTACAGCAGATACGCATCAAAATATGCTTACAAATCACTACACCATGACAAAAACCTAAATCTTTAGTGATGAATGTGAACGTACCTGTTGAGGAGAGTTGATTTGAGCAGATTCATCATCCATCTGAGTCTCTGACTGGAGAGAAGGATCAGAGTTACTCGCTGTGCTGGTATTAACAGGAGCGCTGGTCATCTGTAAGAGACAACATTCAAAATGACAAGATGTTAGATCATGGAAACACAAGAGAGAAATCTGAAGCAGATACCACATGGTTTGAGAATGTGAAACATTCATTTTACATAGTTAATTATTGGTTTTTTTTTGTGATTATATTTCACCCATTAGTTGCAACATGGTCATTGTATGCCACATTGGATATGGATATAATTTATTGGAATAGACATCAATTAGATTCATAGATTTCTAATAGATCAAATTATAATCCATTCAACCAACTTGTTTGCCACATGTTGCCAAAATATGAGCTATTTTGTCCACAGTGTGCTTTGCAACATACTTGTGTTCTCCATGGGTAGTTTTCTCCTCCATAATCATAGGCAATTTCTTCTCCTTCTTTAATGTCATCCAGGGCAAACAGACAAAGGTGAGGCTTTCCATTGACGTCAATTTTCTTCATCTTACAATTTGGATGTTTGTGACAATCATTAACGATCCGCCCATACGATCCATCTTCTCTTGACGCATCAATACTTAAATATGAAACCATGAGAAAAGGATGATTACAAGTACTACAATATACCACCACAAATCAGTTTATTTTTACTATCTTTTTGCATAAGGAATATAGCTTTGGTACAACTTGACTTCTTACCACCATGTTTTCCCTCGCCACTTGAAATCAAACATAAATGCAGCACAGGATGCGTGGTAACGTTTTCTTCTTCTCTGCAGTTCTGCATCATTTATCATATCTCCCCTGTACTCAACAACAAAATCACCTTTGCAAAAGTCACCCTTTGCAAATAGACCACGTCCTGCAAAATACAGATTTTTTCTGATTAACAGATTTTTACAGATTTCAGGTCTGATTAATGTGCTCATAAGATTATGGTTAGGACATGCATATCTTGGTAAATATTGAATGATAAAATCACACCACCTTACCTTTCACTGCATTGATATACTTCACATCTAATTTGAATGTTTTGTCAGTCTTTGAAACAACATGATGCATGGCATCCTTAAGGGGGCTGATTCGTGGTGGCATTTCAAACTGAGAGGAAAAAAATAGTGTGAAAAAAATTACACTGAAAATGGGGACACATGCAGAATTCAACTAGCATGTTCAATAAGTAGCCTAGATAAGAATGTTATTGTAATGTTACTGCATTACAATGATATTGTATGTATCAATGTAAGACAAGAAATCTGAACTCTACAATATAATATCATCAGATTTATTGACTGGCACAATGCTAGCCTTGCGGGCATAAACTCACCATTTTCACTCAGGCTCTAATCTCTCACAAAACCAACATCTGTAAAATCCCAGGTAGCCTTGGCAATTATTTAACTATTCATTTGGTCCTTAACCTAACTAAGTTACTCTTTTGAACGAGCTCACCATACAAACCCCAGTTTATTTTAACTACAGTCATAATTAAAACTAAGTTTATTCATTTATTCTTTTAAAGCTACTTTCCATGTCAGTTTTTGTTTTATTTTAGCCTAACGTTACTTCATTTCTCTGTGAAGCACTTTAGTCAAGATCTGTGGCTTGTATATGTTGCCTATGAGTTCATTTAAATGTAAAAACAATTTCTGATCAGTCAAACATAAGTGCTAACGTATATAATATATATATATATATATATATATATATATATATATATGCCTATAAAACATATCTTTAATTTAAAGTATAAAATAAGCCACCGTCCAACGCAAACTAGACAGAGAAACAAACTTAATAACCGAATCCCTCCATTAGCAATCAGTCAGACTAGACGACACTTTTCAGTTAAAATTAAGTCCTTAACATTAAATTGTATGATTATGTGATCGCTTATTGGAAAAACAGAGAAAATGTCAGGCCACACTTACCGTTAGCCTCAACAATTAGCACTAACATTAACTAGCTAGCCCGCTGCCTAATCTAATTAACCTAACAGTTAACTTAATTGGTTTAATATATGTGCTTACCTTGAGCTTCACTTTTATCCTCTGTAGAAGTTCAGATCCTTAGTTGGCATCTACAGTAAATAATCTTCTTTGTCCTCCATGTGAAGTAACGTTATCAATTTAATACTTGTATTTTCAAGTTGCTGTCGAACTCCTTCCTAACGAGGACCCGGAAGTGGGCGGTACCCAACCATAATTGGAAAATGTGTGTGTGGAAAAGTGAGTGCATTACCAGCCAAAAATGTTTGGGGGCGCAGCAGAGCTCCCGCTACACACACGCATACTACCTGATAATCATGTGTTATGGGCCAATGCTAAAACTCCGCCCAGAACCTTCAGAACAGTTCCACTATCCAATTAAATGGGTTACCCTTATGGGGACCTGATTTTTGGTCCCCACAACGCAAGAGGTCCCCATTAGGTGACTGTGTAAACAGATTCTTGTCCCCACAAAGTGATGATTACCAGAACACACACACACACACACACACACACACACACACACACACACACAAACACACGCACACACACACGACACCTAGTGGTTACTCCAGGATACTACAATACTTCTATTGCAGCACTATACAGTATATTGTTAGTTATGAATTATTAGAGTAATCTGTGAAAATGCGTCATGTCTGATACAGGTGCAGTGAATCGAGCAGACGAGATCTATCAGGAGTCTCAGTGAGTATTTCTTGTTCAAAGCTTTGACCAGGGGCGTCACTAGGCCCTTTTTAGGGGGGCTTCAGCCTAATGTAGGCTACACAAATTCGTGTTCGCTTCAGTCTTGTTATAATCAGATTCAGCACGTTCTCAATCCACAGCTGCGCCGTGCAGAGAGCACGTCAGAAACAGAGGACAGGGTGTGTGTGTTCATTTGTGTGTTCATCTGAGCCTCATTGGTCTGTCACTGCTCGTCAATGTCAGAGACGACCAATCAAATCAAAGTAGGCGGGCTTTATGTTCACAGACGCTGCTGAGCGCGAATTTTAACAGTGCGACACGACCATTTTTTACAGTCTATGGACTCGACGCGTACGGTCAAGTGCGAGATAAGATGTAAGTAGCTAAACTTAACATTTCATATTTTACTTTTTTTAGGTCATAAATGTTAAACGAATGACAAAAAATAATCAGGCAAACTAATATAGTTTTGTCTAATTTCGCCATTTTGAACTGAAAATAGGCCTATACACTCATGTAACTCATGTAATGTAATAATTAGTTTACAAGAAACATTAACAAAGCCGTTTTCATCATGTTAGGCACAAGATTAATAATGAATGTGTACATATTGAGAATATAATACAAATTGTAGCCTTAAGTAAATTAAAAAAGCTCAGCTTTAGGAGGGGAAGAGAAAGGGAGGAAGAGACTGAGAAAAAAAGGAAGAGTGATGGAGATGAGAAGAGAGGAGGTATTGACAAATAATCTGCCCACTGACATGGTTTTAAAGCTATTTCTTATCCTTTTTTTTTGGTCTTCAAACGTCTTGAAATGCACAAATCAGAAATAAAAAAGTTGAACCCCCTACCAATCTCAAATTTAGGACCTCTGTGATTATAAAGCCCTGTCTACGGCCCTGTATTAGGCATAAGATCAATAATAAATGTGTAGCCTACATATTGTGAATGCATTTAATAAACTTAATTACCTTTAGTAGCTTTCAGTAAATAAACGCGTCTGAGAAAATGATTCATAGGCAAAATCAACCTATCACCCTATGTTTACTTTCTTCACTGACAGACAAAAATGAAAAGCCTATATCAGTCAAAGCTCAGCTTTAGGAGGGGAAGAGACAGGGCAAGATAAAAACAAGAGAAAAAGAGTGTGATGCTGATGAGGAGAGAAAAATAATCAGCTGCCCACTATCCAAGTTTTTTGGCCTTCAGAACATCTTAAAATACACATATGTAGATCAGAGAAATCAAAATTTTCTCGGGGAGACCCCGAAACCCCCGTATTTGCCCTGCCTCACATTTGGGACCACAGTTATTATAAAACCGTGCCTTTGCATCGTAATGAAAATGGTTAACTGTAGATCTGGTTACTGTAGATCTGATGATTTCAGGGCCAGAAACTCACATCACAGCAGAGGTTTTCTCTTATCAGAAAATAGTGACGAAAATGAGCTCAAACTTTCTCCACATTCTGTGATCTTTTATAAGTAAACATGAGAAGATTTGAAATCATCTTTTAAGAGGCAACATGATGCTAAAATAAACCAAGTTTTGTTCACAATATTCAATCTTGTTACTGTTCTTGTTGGTTTACTGAATTTTTTTTTTGGTCTTTTATATTCATTTTTTAAATAATTGACTTGTATTGGACTTTTTCAATATAAAACAGATTAAAACCAAAAGCATGTCATAATGTTCTCCATTATTAAATAATATATTAATAAGTAATGTTTTTGAAGAGGAATTGACTGTGTAAAATGTTGAGTTATTAAAAAAATTAAGTTTAAAGAAGGTTTCAGGAACATCATTCTAACCTTAAAAAAAGTTCCACTAACATTAAGAAATCGAGCTTCATCTGGTGGACATTTAACAGCTGTGATGATGAAACATGATTATTGCTCTGATATCAACAGCTTTGAGAATTATACATTTACATTGAAGAGGTCATGAACATGAGAGGTCTCCTGTGGGGTGCACGTATAATGTTAATGTGATTTTTACTTCAAAATGTTTAATAATTTAGAAATAAAAGGCATTTTCTCCTTCCATGATTTCATCCCTCTGATTTGAAGGCTCTGTTTGAAGGGGCGTGTCTGCTGTGAGACGTCAGTGTATACACACACTGCTGTGATTGGCTGCTGTGAGACGTCAGTGTATACACACACTGCTGTGATTGGCTGCTGTGAGACGTCAGTGTATACGCCCACTGCTGTGATTGGCTGCTGTGAGACGTCAGTGTATACACACACTGCTGTGATTGGCTGCTGTGAGACTTCAGTGTATACGCCCACTGCTGTGATTGGCTGCTGTGAGACATCAGTGTATACGCCCACTGCTGTGATTGGCTGCTGTGAGACTTCAGTGTATACGCCCACTGCTGTGATTGGCTGCTGTGAGACTTCAGTGTATACACACACTGCTGTGATTGGCTGCTGTGAGACGTCAGTGTATACACACACTGCTGTGATTGGCTGCTGTGAGACTTCAGTGTATACGCCCACTGCTGTGATTGGCTGCTGTGAGACATCAGTGTATACGCCCACTGCTGTGATTGGCTGCTGTGAGACTTCAGTGTATACGCCCACTGCTGTGATTGGCTGCTGTGAGACTTCAGTGTATACGCCCACTGCTGTGATTGGCTGCTGTGAGACTTCAGTGTAAACGCCCACTGCTGTGATTGGCTGCTGTGAGACTTCAGTGTATACGCCCACTGCTGTGATTGGCTGCTGTGAGACCTCAGTGTATACGCCCACTGCTGTGATTGGCTGCTGTGAGACCTCAGTGTATACGCCCACTGCTGTGATTGGCTGCTGTGAGACTTCAGTGTAAACGCCCACTGCTGTGATTGGCTGCTGTGAGACGTCAGTGTATACACACACTGCTGTGATTGGCTGCTGTGAGACGTCAGTGTATACGCCCACTGCTGTGATTGGCTGCTGTGAGACTTCAGTGTATACGCCCACTGCTGTGATTGGCTGCTGTGAGACTTCAGTGTATACGCCCACTGCTGTGATTGGCTGCTGTGAGACTTCAGTGTATACGCCCACTGCTGTGATTGGCTGCTGTGAGACTTCAGTGTAAACGCCCACTGCTGTGATTGGCTGCTGTGAGACTTCAGTGTATACGCCCACTGCTGTGATTGGCTGCTGTGAGACCTCAGTGTATACGCCCACTGCTGTGATTGGCTGCTGTGAGACTTCAGTGTATACGCCCACTGCTGTGATTGGCTGCTGTGAGACTTCAGTGTATACGCCCACTGCTGTGATTGGCTGCTGTGAGACCTCAGTGTATACGCCCACTGCTGTGATTGGCTGCTGTGAGACCTCAGTGTATACGCCCACTGCTGTGATTGGCTGACAGCTTTGCATTTAAAATAGCTAAGCATTACATGTGGAACTCTCTCCAAATCTTTTAGCAC